GATGAAGGGTCTGATGAAGGGTCTAGGCCCGAAACGTCAGCCTCTCTGCTCCTATGATGCTGCTTGGCCTGCTGTGTTCATCCAGCCCTGCACCTTGTTGTCTCGGATTCTCCAGCATCTGCAGTTCCTACTATCTCTTGTATAAATGTTAGTTCTTTTTATTTACTGTTTTTCTTTTTGAATTATACCTAAATCTTTGAGAAAGTGAATACTACTGCTATATTTGTTTTGTTGCAGGTTCAGTCACTGACTCCATGCAGGCCAGGTTCATACTGTGGTCCTAAAACAGGAAATGCAACAGTCTGCCCTGGTGGTTATTTCTGTCCACTAGGTTGCCCCATGTACAACACCCCAAAGCAATCGTATGTATCAGCTGGCAGCTTTCCTTACAATTACATAAGACTAGATTTTCCTGTCAAAATAACAGGTTAATTGCACTGTTAGTTAATAACTGATAGACTTCGGGAGATGCACAGTTATTCTCAAATGTCTAGAGGTTGCTGTCTGAGTTGCACTGCTCCACCATTGGTTTCACCCAAACAGCATCTTGCTGTCGAACAACCAGGTAACAGAGTGTAGTTTCCATACTTGCATAATAGACACATACTGAACACGACACAGAAGATCAATTTTTTTTTTCTTTATTCATTCATGGGATGAGGGTGTCGCTGGCTAGGTAGCATTTATTACCCATCCCTAATTGCCCAGAGGGCAGTTAACAGTCAACCCCATTGCTGTGGGTCTGAAGTCATATGTAGACCAGACCAGGTAAGGATGGCAGTTTCCTTCCCTAAAGGACATTAGTGAAGCAGATGGGTTTTTCCAACAATTGACAATCAATTCATGGTTATCCTTAGATTCTTAATTCCAGATATTTATTGAAATCAAATTCCACCATCTGCTGTGGTGGGATTCAAACCCCAGTCCCCAGAACATTATCTGTTCTCTGGATTAACAGTCCAGTGATAATACCACTAGGCCATCACACAATTCGTGTCCATTCCAATGTGAGTACAATTTTAACAATGTGATAAGTGTTAATAAGAGCCAAAAACTTCTCTGACATGTCAAATTAATTTTACAAGCGTGGAATCTTATTCCTTTAGACACTTTTGTTGGAGCTTTTAAAAATGTCAAATCTTATTTTTCCTTTCTGCTGTGTTCTCTTATAACCCAATCTCTCTTTCCCTTTATTTCTCCTTCTGTGCTTGATTTAACATTCTTTGTAATTTACATTTCCATGTGCTATTCCAGCTGTTAATTTCTCATTCTGTGTTTGTTTTCAATTTGTTATGGGATGTCAGCATCAGTGCTAAGCCAGCATTTATGACCCGTCCTTAAATGTTCTTGAAAAATGTGGTGAGTCACCTTCCTGAATTGGTGCAGCCTGTGTGGTCTAAATCAACCACAATGCTTTTATCCAGAGCGATTTAAAACGAGTAAGTTGCTTGCTACACCACTTCAGAGAGTAGTTAAGAGTCAACCACATGGTTTGATGTCACATGTAGGCCCAGCTATGTTAGGACTGCAGATTTCTTCCCTTGAAGTGAACCAGCTGAGTTTTTATGATAATCAATAGGTTCTGATTATTTTTGATTTGATCAGCATTTTTGTTTTGCTTGTTAATTGTATTTAAATTCCCTCAGCTATCTTTGTGGGATTTGAGCTAATCTCCAAAGCATTAATCCAGACTTCTTAATTACTAATCCATATTATTAATACTATTCTACAATGCCAACAAATTGGATAGGTAAGGTGGTACATAGTTGTTTGTCCTGTTAGCTCAAGTCTCAAATACTCAGGGCTGGATTTTCCTGTGGTCTTTTGGACAAAATGGGGCTTTCAAACCTGCACTTGATGGCAGCAAGATCAGAAAGACCATTTTGCTGTCTAATTAAGAATGGACAACATTATCCCTCTGCTATTAGCCCAAGCTGGAGCTTTGACAACTGCAGGTGTGGTAGCACTTCTGAAACAGGTTGGGAAACACAAGGATACCTCAGAACCATTCAGGTGAGATAAATATTCAGAGGGACAAAACCAGCCAGCCCTTGGAGAAGGGAGGAGTCCCATCCAGCTGAACGTCCAATGTCAGGACCACACTTACAGCCTTTCCTGGGGCCCATCCTCAGGACACCAATCAGCTGTCAGACATGTCTGTGGGAGGGGTGCATTCTGCCTTCAACAAAATGCCAGTGAGATCACAAAGTCACCCCTGAATTGAACCTTAACAATGCAAATAGGTAACAAAAACAGAAATTGCTGGAAAAGCTCAGCAGGTCTGACAGCTTCTATGAAGAGAAATCAGAGCTAACATTTCAGGTCCAGTGACCCTTCCTCAGAACTGATGGTAGCTAGGAAAATGCTTTTTTTATGCAGAAGATAGGATGTGGGGAGGGGGGTAGGATTAAACGATAGGTGGGGATAGAGCCCAAAGCGAGAGAAGAACAACCGGACAGACAGAGGAGTGGCTAACAATCTGGCTAGGAGGGTGAGCTCACATTGTGAACAGCGGTCTCATCTACATTGGGGAAATGAAGTGACTGGGTGACCGCTTCACAGAACACCTACGTTTGGCCCACGAAAACGACCTTGAGCTTCCAGTTGCCTGCCACTTCAGCGCATCATCCTGTTCCCTGGCCAGTACCTCTGTATCAGGGTTGCTGCAGTGCTCCAGCAAAGCTCAGAATAAACTGGAAGAACAACACCTCATTTTCTGCTTGGGGACCCTGCAACCTTCTAGACTCGATATATCAAGTACAAAAACTTCAGGGCTTGGATTTTTTCTATGTACTAGCCCTCACCCCCACATACCAGGCCTTGTTACCACATAGTCTGCTATTACACACAACCTACTGTTAGTCATTAACAGACTCCATTCACAGCTGTTTACCCTCCTAGTGGAATCATTATCTGCTCCTTTGTCCAACTGTTCTTCTCTCTCTTTGGACTCTATCCCCAGCTATCTTTTACTCCTTCCCCCACTTCCCTTCCACCATATCTTCTGCATAAAAACCAACATTTTCCTAGCTGCCATCAGTTTTGAGGAATAGTCACTGGACCTGTAATGTTAACTCCTGATTTCTCTTCACAGATGCTGCCAGACCTGCTGACCTTTACCAGCATCTTCTGTTTTTGTTTCTGATTTACAGCATCTGCAGTTCTTTTGGTATTTTTTAATGCAAATTGGTAGCCTGTCTCTGTGTACCCGGCAGCTGGTTTACTTTGCACCTTAGACCCAGAGATTGCCCTCTGGAAATAGGAATGGTTCAGAGAAATTAAAATGACTTCCTAAATCATCCCCACCCCAAACACAGACAAGCACACACCCCTTTTCCAAGTTCATCACCATGGAGCTGGAAAAATGCCATCTCTTGTCTGTTGCATTTTCAGCTAACACTTCTGAACAAATTGCAACCTGAAATAGCATCAAGTAAGTGACAATAAGCAAGATCAGCAGATAAAGAGCACCTGGCATTTTCGCCTTCATTATCCTTCTCTATCCTACTTTAGGACTAAAATACACTCACATAAATAAGATTGCTTGTTCAGGACAGCAAACCCATACAAACAGCCATTTTAGAGAAAATCATATGAATTGCTCGACGCAGGACAAAAAATGAAATTTAACACAGCACATACTTGATCTGGTGAGTTAGCTGTATGAAGAAAAGGCAAAATTTCTAATTTATGCCATTACATTAAACAAATTTAAATATGAAAGAAAGCCATGAAATATCAGAACAAATCCTTCAGAATTAGGTAAAGGGCAGTGTCAGATCGTGTAGATATGCATTGTGCCGTTTTCACCTTTGCACATTCCTCGTGTCTCATCAGAGATCAAATGTAATAAACATTTAAGAATGTTGAACTAATCTTTGAGATATAAAAACAACAAATGCATGTGCTACATTGATTTGTATCCATGAAAATCAGTGTGACTATTCAAGGAAAAAACAAAGTATACTTTTGAAAAGTTAGCGCGGTTGGATTTTGAATGGGATTATGTGATGAGATTCTTTAAATTCCTTCTCAAACTCTGAAAATAATGAATGATTAGTTCCCTTAGCTGAAATACAGATGATGTGTTTTAAATTAGCTATTAAAGAGTAAGAGTGACACTTGGAATTTTATTTAGCTTTCCATGACTCAATTAACAGCCCTATGTTTAGGTGGATACTTGGAAAGAGTTCTCCCTTTTGTAAAATTAAAAGCAAAGTACAGCAAAATTTCTGTCACACCCTGTAACACTGACAAGTTTGTGCTAAGGGGAGGGTTACCTTTTTGTTGCAGGTGTGTGTACCCGTACTTCTGTCCTGCAAATAGTTCTTCGATGCTGCCTTGTGATGGAGGGTACATGCCAGTCAATGTGACAGATCTGAGGGATCGTCTGGAGAAGGCGTGTCTAATTTGTGAGGCTGGAACCTATCGAAGTGGTTCTGCCAATGAGCTCCATTGCAGTCCTTGCCCAGCAGGCTTCTACTGTCCAGTCGGTGAGTCAGACCAGGATCACATTAAATACCAGAGCTCCTGTTTTAACTTGGAATAGAGTTCAGACAAAGGCATGGGAGACACTGTTAGCAAACCTTAATGACTTGGTAGTGTGATGTCTGGGTGTCTGGCTCTGGGGTAGGGTCTCTTGACCTGAAACGTTAACTCTGATTTCTCTCCACAGATGCTGCCAGACCTGCTGAGCTTTTCCAGCAATTTCTGTTTTTGTTTCTGATTTACAGCATCCGCAATTCTTTAGACTTTTATTTAGCACTGACCATTCAGATTGGGATCAGTAACACAATAAGGTAGATTCTTTACACAAGAATGGTTGTGAATGTGAACAGAGGTCTTCATGATATGCAAGTGCCTTTTAGAGACTGACAACATACAGAAGTTGCACAGTGTGTTACAGCACATCACTTCTCTTAAAAACATAACCACACCTCATAAAGACAAGCTAATACAAGCAAAATTGGAAGTTCAGGCAACAACATGCAGATTGTTGACAGGGATGTATGTTGTGGGATAATGTTGAGAGGAACCTATGAGAGTGAGGGGTGAATCAGAGACAAAGGAGGCCTAGGGAACTGTTGCTGCAACTCTTGCGCCTACAAGGAAAACAAAAAGATCTTTCCTGTTCTGCTCCCAGATCCTCTTACTGTTAACTTAACTGGCAGAAAAACCATAACAGCTCTCCATGCAGGCCTCAAATAAAGTTACAATCGGAGCCCATAGGTGTAATTGGATCATAATCTCCATTCTACAGAAAGATTCCTGATCACATTTCAGTTGAATAGCTTTACTACCTGCCCACAATGTCCTGTTTAAAATTTAAGGCAGGTGATCAAACTGCACGATTGCAAGCAAATCAGTTAACTGAATCTCACGGCCCATGTGCTTCATCTCTCTCCATGCAGGTGGAGTTGACAATGCCTCTTAACATGTTGAGAGTGCTATATCATCTACTCTTAAAGATGCTTAATATCTATGCCACCTAGAAGGACAAGGGAAGCAGATGTATAAAAGCAACACCCTCTGCATGTTTCCCTCTAAGCCACACTATCCTCACATGGAATATATTGACATTCCTTCAGCATCGCTGGGTCAAAATCCCAAACCTCCCTTCCTTACACCATTGGGGGTGTACCTACACCACATAGACTACTGTGGTTCAAGGAGGTAGCTCACCACTACCTTCTTGAGGACAATTTGGGATAGGCAACAAATGCTGACCTTGCCAGCAATGTCCACACGATATCAATGAAAATGTACAATTATATTAGTTCTATTGTCTCATAGCTGAAATTTCCACTTTGTTTTGTTGTATTGTTTAGTTCAAATTAATGGATAATTTAATCTTTTATGTAAAGAAACTTTAAATTATCAAAAGCATTCTGTGTCATTTGACCTTCTGACACATTGTCGATCTTTCATCAATTCTACTTTTGTCTTGGTTGGATTTCACTGCTATTGCTGTGTAAATCATTGGGATTTAATTCTAATAATTTTAATTATGGTATTAAAGCTAATGTGTGTCCATCATTAAGGTTCATACGTATGTAAGGGGATAATGGGAGTTAGTTGGTTCAGTGTTCACATTATTTATTTGGAAATGATGTTTTCCATCAGGGCTACCAGTTTATTCTTTTCCCTTTACCAAAATTTGTTACAAAAATGTTCACCATTTCTGATCTGATTACAAAATATAAAGCAATTCAATTTAGCCACAATGTTTACAAGTAGTTTAAGACAACTACTTCTCATTTAGATTAGAGATCTTGAAGCTATGAACTATTGTTGACTGTAGATGAGAGTACAGTATTTAGTCAAGAGAGTTGCAAGCCTTTTGGAATTTGCTTCCCAGATTAATGGTTGAGGCAATAAATATGTGAATATTTAAGATGATATTGGAGAGATGGTTGAGGAATTTGGAATCAAAACAAATACATCTGATTTTGACGATTTGCTTCTGTGGTGGTTAATGCAAATAAGAGCTATTTGGACAAATGACTTGTTTTAACATTGTCCAGAAGCAGTGACTCTCATACGAAGTACTTGGTGGTAGTAGATGCCTGCAGTTCTGATATAATGCACGAGAGACCTTGAGAAGGTAGTGGTGACCTGCCTTCTTGAACTACTGCATTCCATCTGCTGTAGGTAGACCCACTGAGATTGTCAATGTGGAATCAAGAACACAACACCCAGATGGGTCCCAGATCCATGCCATAGCTCCGTCACTATCAGATCACCATTTTTAATTTAAATTGGCCTAATTGACCAGGAGCCTTGCTAAAAAGAGTAAGTAGCTTCTCATTGGGCCAACAGCATCCAAGGCAAGGAGCCAGAAAAAGAAATGAACATCCAGTAATCACACTGAACCAAGTAGATCCATTGCAACACAGTTTCAAAACAAAAATAAATTCACTATATTTGTCCCCATGAGACAAGTGACTACTGTATCCTAACCTATATCACACTGTTGGGGTTTGCTGAAATAAAGGTTGAAAATTCATTCAAACACTAATAGGCCCCTTTAACGAGCTCCTTTATGAGGATAAGTGGCTGCTAGTTTGCTGCAATTTAGTTTCTCATTCTCGCCAACCTGCCACCCTTTTGAAAATTGCCAATTGTTTCTCAGGCACCTTGATCCTGAGATGACCTTCAAGACTGCAATATTCAAATTCCACTCACTCTATCCGAATCCCATGACCCTTGGTAAATCTGCAGGAATTCATCGACAGTTCTTAAATTGCAACGTCTGATACTGTGCCATTGTGTATTGCTGTTATTTAATCAAAAGTATATTTGCTCTGTTTCATTTCCCTCAGGTTCTGAAAACTACTTGTCGAATCCTTGTCCAGAGGGCTACTACTGCTCTGAAATGACCAGATTACCGGTCCCTTGTCCTCCAGGGACTTATGGAAACACCAGCCATGCAAAGCATGACAGTGAATGTTACCCATGTCCTGAAAACACATTTAACCATCTGGATGGATAGAGAGCTTGTTTTCCCTGTGGAAGTACCTCATATTCAAGTCTAGGTGAGCAATCAGTCAAGTAACTAAAATTAAAGAGGATAAATACATTCGTACAAAGGCACAAAAGCAATCAACGTTCCAAATTTTATACAGGTAATACTCAAAAGCCAATTTTCTTTCCCTTGTCCCAAAGGATTGCCCACTCTCCTGGATGCAAAGATGGGGAAAAGGCCAAAATTACTAGATCTTTTCCCCTTAAAATTGTCCTTGTTTTTCCAGAGCTTTCCTGAGAGATCAAATTATGTCCTGTGGCCCTACTATCCGGACCACTTCCTGACAGTGCTCTGGTTGGAGAATTGGCAAATGCCTCAAGGTGGGCCATTTCAAGTGCTGTAGGTAGACCCACAATGCCATTAGGGAGAAAATTGCAGGATTTTGACCCAGCAACACTAAAGTAGCACACTACGCTGCTACTACTGAACATCAGTGGTGGCAGGAGAACATGTTTGTGGATGTGGTGCCAATCAAGTGGGCTACTTTGGGTTCTTCTAGCTACTGATTACATTGACAATAGATAGGTCCTGATGGCTGAGGCCTCATATGCAGCTCAAAGGCTGTTTTTTTTTTTTTTTAATGCATTTCTCACCAATAGTTGGCCTTGCCAGGGTGGTAGATCTTTTTGATGCCATACAGCCATGTAAATGGCCTAGAGTTTGAATTCATGTTGATCCCACAGCAGTGTTGTGGCAAGAAAAACAAGGCAAGGGCAGGTATGATGGACAGTTGGACCCTGGGAAGAACTAAAGATCAAAGGAACCTTGGTGTGCATGACCATTGGTTCTCTTAAGGTAGCAAACAGATAGATAAAGTGTTTAAGAAGGCATATGGGATACTTGCCTTTATTAGCAGAGGCATAGAGTTTAAGAGCAAGGATGTTTTGTCAGAACTGTATAAAAGGTTGGGTAAGCCACAGCGAGGATATTGTGTGCTGTTCTGGAATCCACATTATAGGAGGGACGTGTATGCACTGGAGAGGGTATAGAGGAGACTTACCAGGCTGGAGAGTTTGTGTTGTGAAGAGAGTTTGGAAAGATGGGGCTTGTCTTCCTTGGAGCAAAAGAGATTGAGGGGTCATAATTAAGATGTATAAATTATGAGGGGCATAAATAGGGTAGCCATGAAGTAACTGTTCCACTTGATGAAGGAACCATTGACTGAGTTCATAGATTTAAGGTAAAGGCAGAAGGTTTAGAGGAGATGTGAGGAAAAGTAATTTTACCTGGAGGACAGTGGGAATTCACTGCCTTTAAGAGTGGCAGGGACAGAAATCCCCATTAATATTCAAAAAGGTTTTAGATGTGCATTTGGGATGCCAAGGCATGCAAGACTGTAGGCCAAGTGCAGGAAAATGGCATTAGAATAGTTAGGGGGTTGTTTTTGACCAGCACCGATGTGATGGGCTGAAAAGCCTTTCTCTGTGCTGTAGACCTCACTGACTCTAATGCACTTCAATTAGGTTGGTACTAGAGGGATATAAACAAGCAGGACCATGGAGAAATGGCGCAAAAGTAGGTCAGACTGGGTTCTTCTATGAAGAACCGGCATAAAGTTCATGGGCTGACTGACCCTAAACGCATCTGTAACATCAGCAAGTGTCAGGGGAAGGGATTGCAGATGGGGATGTGAGGCAGGAAAGTCCTCCCTTCCATCTCTCTGCATTATTGCTGAGAAATTGTATAGCTTCACATTGATATGCCTATATATCTGTATGTAAAGATAATTTAAAGATCTTGAGGGAAGCAGCAGACCTGACCTAGCTTTTCAGGCACATCAAAAATACTTAGCATCATAAATTGGAACAGTCACCTTCATACATTATTGTCAAATTGAAGTGTATTATTTATTATATTAAAGATTATTTTCTTTTCTCGAAACTTCCCTTTGCCTAGCTCCAGCAACACTCCAAAAGCTTGACATTCTCCAGGACAAAGCAGCCAGCTTGATTGGTGCCACATCCACAAGCATCCACTCCCTCCATCACCAAAGCTGATTGGAAGTCTTTTTTAAAAAAAAAACTATCTACAAGATTTGCTGCAGAAATTCACCAAGGCTCCTGACACCGTACCTTACAAACCCGTGACCACTTCCATCTAGAAGGACAAGGGCAGCAGAAACATAGGAACACCACCACCACCAGCAAAGTTCACTCAAAGCCCACTCACCATCCTGACATGGAAATATATCATCATTCTTTGAGTGTCATTGGGTCAAAATCCTGGAACAGCATTGTGGGTTTACCTACTGGGTGCTCTGGTTTCCTCCCACAGTCCAAAGATGTGCAGGTTAGGTGGACTGTCCGTGCTAAATTGCTCGTAGTGTCCAGGGATGTTCAGGCTAGATTAATTAGCTATGAGAAATATGGTATTACAGGGATAGGGTCAGGTGGCTAGGTGGTCTGGGTGGGATACTTTTCAGAGGGCTGGTGCAGACATGATGGGCTGAACAGCCTCTTTCTGCACTGTAGGGATTCTATGATTCACATAGACTACAGCAGTTCAAGAAGGCAGTTCATCATCACCTTCTCGAGTGCAACTAGGAACAGGCAATAAATGCTGGCCAGCCAGCAATGCCCACATCCTACAAGTGAATAAAAACATATTGGATTTCCTGTGAGTTGTATCAAGACAAACATTTATAAGATTGCACCTGCAAAGAGTCTCAATCCACTTCATTACAGGCTAGATTAAGAGTCTGATTCCAGATTGTGCTGTCTGTTTAAAATGACACAGAGTTCATAACACTTAACTCAGATGCTTAATGCACAAAGTTATTGTAATCTTACTGTTACCATTGTTCCATCAAAGAGGGACCGATACCACTCATAAAAGAATTATTAAATTCAGTAAAGGATTAAAAACGCGGATGATATGAAAGATCTGGAGTTTTGGTGATGCTTGAAAGTTCCTTGTCTAATGATCTTTGCCTCATAGGTTCCACGATATGCAAGTGCCAAGGTTTCAATCATGCTTTCCAAGAATCAGATGGATCATGTATCTGTAAGACTGGGCACGTTTATTATGACGAGACAGATCAGAAAAGCTCAAATGGCAATAGAGACATGGACTGTTACCCAGAGGTGAGAAGAAATTCTTGGAGTGACACCAGAAACTCTCAACTGTTACATTCTTGGGAGTTTGAGTGAAATTTTCAGACTGGTTGCCTTCCGTACAAGGAGCTGAACCATCATCTGCACTGCCATAAATTGAAACTCTAATCTTGTCTATTGAGGGGATTCCCTCCTTGTTAGGGCAGGTTTTGTTACTGCATATTATGTATGGGATTAGATTTTATACCTGGGTGCTTACCATGTAGGGCCTCACACAGCAGCAGTATTTTAAGATTACAGGCGCAGGGGCTTGATAAATTTTAATGAGCAGAATATCAACTGCCTGCAATTCCTGAGATACCCTCGCAATCAATTTAGTGAGCAAAGAAGGCTGTGGTTTGGCCCATTGTATTTGTGCTGTTTCTTTGAGGTATCCAATCAGTCCTGCTCACCTAATTTTCCAAACTTGCTAGGTTCTGGACAGGCTCCATTAAACTGGAAAGCAGCAACTATAACCCCAATATTTAGAAAGGGCCACAGGCAGAGCCAAAGGCCCATCAGCTTGATGTCTTTTGAGTGAAAGGTGTTATAATCAATCATTAAGGGTGTTATGGCTGCACACTTAGAAATCCACTAATCAGGAACAGTCAGAATAGTTTTGTGGAAGGTAAATCTTGATTAACCAGTTTATTGTGATACTTTGAATAAGTAACATTCACTGTAGATAAAGGGGACCCTGTCGATGTTGTGTACCTGGATTTCTAGAAGGTATTTGACATGCTGCCATATAAAAATGTATTACGCAAAGAGGCACTGTTGGTAAGGGATGACATGCCAGGACAGATTAAAGATAGGCTGCTAGGAGTATGCATAAATGGGTGTTTATCTATTTGGCAGAATATGACAAGTGGGGTGCAGGGTTCTGGGCTGGGCCCTCCATTTTTTACAGTTTATATCAATGACTGAGCTAAGAAGAGCCAAGGCATGGTAGCTAAATTTTCAGATGTCACAAACTTTTTTGGGAAAGTATGCTGTGAAGGAGACACAACGAGGTTGCAGACCCATATAGCTAGATTAAATGAGTGGGCAAAAATTTGACAATTTGAAGTATGATGTAGGAAAATATGAAATACATCACTTTGGCAGAAAGAGTAATAAAGAGGAGCATTACTTAAATGCAAAATGACTGCAGAATCCTGAGTTACAGATGGATCTAGGTGTTCTAGAGTCACAAGGATTACAAAATGTTAGTATGTAGTTACAGCAAGTAATTAAGAAGGCTAATGGATGCTATCCCTTATTATGAGAGGAGTTGACACTAAGTATCAAAAACAGAAATTGCTGGAGAAGTTCAGGTCTGGCAGTATCTGTGGAGAGAAATTAGAGTTAATGTTTCGGGTCAGAAACGTTAACTTCTATTTCTCTCCACAGATACTGCTAGATCTGCTGAGCTTTTACAGCTATTTCTGATTTTGTTTTGTATTTCCAGCATCTGCAGTTCTTTCAGTTTTTATAAAAGTAAACATGTTCTGTTTCAGTTATGTGTGGGATTGATGAGACCACATCTCAAATAATGTGTGCAGTTTGGATTCCTCATTTAAGGAGGAATGTAAATACAATAGAGACAGTTCAGAGGAGGTCTGCTATGATGATGCATGGAATTAACAGGTTTTCTTATGCAGGAAACGTTCAGCAGACTGGGCTTGTTTCCATTGAGGTTTAGAAGAGTCAGGGCTGACTTGATTGATGTGGATAAAATCATGACAGTCTTAACAAGGTGGACGTGGAAAGGATGTTCTCTCTCAAGTGAGAGTCTAGAATTATGGAGCAATGTTTTAAAATTAGGGTTAATCCTTTTAGGGCAGAAATGTCAAGTTTTTTGTTTTCTCAGAGGACAGTATAACCTTGGAATTCTCTGCCACAGAAGACCGTGGAAGTAGAATGATTGAATATTTTAGCGGTGGATGTAGATTTTGAGGCAAGGTTCTCAAAAGCTATTAGGATTGATGAGAAAGTGGAATTCAAACTGCTAACAGAGCAACCATAGCCTTACTGAGTGACAGAGCAGACTTGAGCATCTAAATGATGTATTTCTGCTCCTAATTCCAATGTACGTTAAGAATATTCATTTTCCAACAGAAGGTTGAAGTCTGAGGAAGGGTCACTGGACCCAAAACGTTAACTCTGTTTTTTCCTTCACAGATGCTGCCAGACCTGCTGATCTTTTCCAGCAACTTTTTGTTGTTGTTGACAAATGAACAAGAGATGATTGCAACGCTTAAGAGACCACAAATCTCATGTGCAGACAAGTAAACCTGGTGAACAATGAGATAATTGGACGTTTCATTAGTTTTAAAGTTGTTTGTTCACAGTTTTTAGATCTTCTCAATCAATATATAATTCAAAAGAGCTGTTCCTTTTTAAAGTCATGAATACCTGGCTTTGGTGTAATCGAGTTGTTTACAAGTCAGACGTAATAATTAATTAATGTTTGTTGATAGAGAAACCCTCCTCTTGTCTAGGTTACTAGATTGTTTCTCACTTATTTTAGACTTGCATGTTGTGGGTATTCCAGCTTTTGACTTGTATTCATGTCCTGTATCCCTCTAGGTGAATGATCGCTGCACTGTTGGTGAGGTTCGACTGGCTTCTACAAGAAGATGTGTCCTCCCAGAGCATCATAACTGCACTCCAGCATGTGGGGAAGATGGAGGAAGGCTGGATGTGGAACTGGGAATGTCAGTCACAAATAATTATGTATCTAATACAGCACTGCAAGAAACACAATAACAGCAGGCACAATGCATAATGATCTGCATGCACTGGTCAGGTTTTTCCATGATTAATTCCTGTGTCCATATGCATTCTGGAAATTGCAGTGTTGTCACTGACTGAAGGGTACATTTACAGGGTGACAGGTTCATTGCGAATGCAAACAGAAGAATTTAAACAAGCCATTTAAAAGTGAGACCTGTCAGCTTTGAATATAGAGTCACAGAGATATATAACACAGAAACAGACCCTTCGGTCTATGCCAACCAGATATCCTTCATAGATCTAGTCCCATTTGCCAGCATTTGGCCCATGTCCTTCTAAACTCTTCGTATTCATATACCCATCCAGATGCCTTTTAAATGTTGTAATTGTACCAGCCTCCAACACTTACTGTGGCAGCTCATTCCATACACGCAGCACCCTCTGTGAAAACGTTGCCCCTTAAGTCCCTTTTATAACTTTCTCCTCTCACCTTAAGCCTATGCCCTCTCATTTTGGACTCCCCCATTCCAGGTAGTTACCGTAGTTACCCTATCTATGCCCCTCATGATTTTGCAAATCTCTATAAGGTCACCTCAGCCTCTGACGCTCCAGGGAAAATAGCTCTAGCCTTATTCAGCTTCTTCCTAAAGCTCAAACCCTCCAGCCCTGGCAACATCCTCGTAAATCTTTTCTGAACCCTTTTTAGTTTCATAACATGATATCCTTCCTATAGGAGGGAGACCAGAATTGCACGCAATACTCCAAAAGTGGCCTAACCAATGTCCTGTATGGCCACAACATGACCTCCCAACTCCTATACTCAATCCACTGACCAATAACGGCAAGCAGACCAAATGCCTTTTTCACTCTCCTATCTACCTGCAACTCCACTTTTAAGGAACTATGAACGTGCACACCAAGGTCTCTTTGTTCACCAATACTCCCCATGACCTTACCATTAAGTGTATAAGTCCTGCCTTGATTTGTCTTTCCAAAATGCAGCACCTAACATTTATCTAAATTAAACTCCATCTGCCACTCCTCGGCCCACTGGCTCATCTGATCAATACCCCATTGTACTCTCAGGTAACCTTCTTCACTGCCCACGACACCTCCAATTTTGGTGGCATCTGAAAACTTACTAACCATACCTCCTATGTTCACATCCACATCATTTATATAAAAATGACAAAAAGCAGTGCACAACAGCACCGATCCTTGTAGTACACCGCTGGTCACAGGCCTCCAGTCTGAAAAGCAACTCTCCACCACCACCCTCTGTGTTCTACCTTTGAGCCATTTCAATATTCAGTGACCCAGCCTGCACTGTTTTCCGTGGAAGAGAACTCCAAAGACTGATGACCTTCAGCGAGAAAGCTTGTTTCTCATCTCCACCTTAAATGAGAGATTTTTTTTTAAAACTGTTCACCATGTTTCTAGATTCCTCCATGAGGGGAAACATCATCTCAGTGTCAACCTTGATTTTCTGCTATTTTTGGAATGCTTCTTGTGTCTTCTACTTTGAAGACAGATACCAAATATTCATTTAAAATCACTGCCATTTCCTTGTTTCCCATTACTAATTCCTCAGTCTAATACTGTATGGAACGTTTTAATTTTGTGTGCTGTCTGTTTTTATTTTACATGCTAGTATTATCTTGTAATGTAATATTGCCCTCTATTTTTAGTCATCTTTTGCTCATTTCTAAGCTACTCTTAGTCTTCTTGCCTATCAATCAGTCATCACTGTACCTTCCTTGCAAACTCCAATCGTTCTTGATTTATGCATATCTACAATGTAGCTGTTATTAAGGGACCTATAACATCCTCCCACCAGTGACTTCCTTTTTTGCTGTTTCATACCTTCAGCCGATCTAGTTCTACGTCTGCAACGTTATGTGTTGGCACCATCCTAACACCTTGGAATGTAAAGGAGGAGGAGTGAACCAACTGTTTGTGTGTTTCTAGCAAGACTGAGCAAACTTCTTCCCTGCTGATAGTTCCTTATGCTATTCGTATCACTTCAAAGCTTTTCTGTTGCTATTCTAAAAAGTATCATTTCATGAAGGTTTTATTCTTAATATAGACGATTGAGTATAAGCAAAGGATTCTTTAAAGCAAAGGGAAAGATTAGAGTATGAGAAAGCAATCAGTACCTTAGTTTAATGTCCCTTAGAAAAACCAGCAGTTCAAAAAGTTCAAAAATACTTCAATGCTGTTTACATTTTGTGCTCCATTCTTTGGGCTAAGACATAACCCACAATCTTCAACAAACAAATAACAATTTAAGTAAGATACTAGAATGTGCAAAACGTCCCTAATATCTCCAGAAGACAAGAAGAGAACAAGAGAAAATGACCAAAGATCAAAAATAACCATTTATCCTTGGACACACTCATTCACTTACCAGTTTTTTGTTGTACCTAATGGAGAAGAGTTGGATTTACACCTGGCTCCAGTGTCTGTGGTTTCTTTCTATTTCCAGGTGCCATTGTAATAAATATATCTCTGCTGAAGAGCTCTGTGACAGAGTTTGTATGGCTGGAATTCTGAATGTGTCTGCACGTGTCCGTCATACTGGGGAGCTTGTTTTAACTGTTAAGGATGGAGCGACCAAAGACCATAAAAATTCAGTGAGTCAGCAACATGAAAATTGTTGTTCCCCCTTTCCTCCTCTTTGTATTAGTTCCTCCATGTCACTGCACAACTCCTTCCATAAGAAGATGGGTGAGCAGATTTTTGTAGGGCTTTAATATCCAAGTCGATGGCTTTGAGTAATTGTCATGGTCGTGTTGTGGAATTGTGCAGTAAGATCCCTGAAATCAGCAGCATCCACCCAGTCATAATGTAGCAAAAGGTAACATCTTTCTTTCCCAAATGTCAAATGTCTAGAGCAATGAATTTCAGTCTTCATTCAATGAAATTACATGTGATAAAATGAAATTTATCTGGTTCATCCCTTCACAAACAGTATAAAATTGCTAATATCAACTATAATAGGCAGTTTTGGTTTGTTGGGATTGTTTTAATTCGTCTACTTTAAGAGTGAGTCTTTTGGTATGCAGCACCTGGATACACTCATTCCCTGATTATGACAATTAAAGTTTTAAGATTTCTAATTCACTGAACTCTCTTCCTCCAGAAGCTGAGCAACAGAGCTTTTCAGAGTTGCCAACAACTTTAAAACATGAAGCTTTCCGCTGGAGGAGGGAGCAAACTGTGTGGAAGGGTTGCAATGGGGAGGTGCGAAAGTGAGAACATGGGGAGAGGAGAAAAATGGCTAAGAAAGGAGGAATCCGGGTTGGGGATGGAGATGATGTTAGGATGGATTAGTGATGGGGTAGGGATAATATAAGAGTGACAGAAGAATTGGAACGGATATGAGATGAAAAGGATGAATTGGAATTAAGCTAGGAATTAATAAAGTACTTTTGTAACAATATTCTAATTACAACACACGTTGAATGTAAGTCTCTGCTTGTTAAAGAATGAACTGGTTCAGTTATTGTTCACCTTATTAACTGATCAAGTAACTTCTGGTGTCTTTTGCCTTCTCAGGTTGTTCCGCATGTGCTGGGTCCAGATGGACACATCACAGATAGTCCAAGAGTTCTGTTTATCCTTTTTGAACCTAATGGAATTTTTGGTTTGATTTTATCTGGAAAATATGTAGTTGACAAGTTCCTGACAGGTCAGTGCCCAAGATGAGGTGAGCTCCAATTTGCTATGGCAGGAACACAAGCAATGCCTGGTGTTGGATGAGTGTTGTAATCAAGGCCACATGGAAAATATATTAAAATAGACCTTGGTAGCACAGTAGTGAATTTGCTCAAGTATTTCAAACCTGCCATTCTTTATTCACCTTTTATGCAACAGGACGCGCATATTAAATGACACACTGATACAATGAAATGGTGTTTCACAGTCTTAAAAAGTTTTCACCACTCGTTTCTTGGGTGTTTAGAGTCATGGGGTGACATGACCTGTCCATCACCTGCTGGTTGGAGTTGGGGGCGGGGATGGTGCTGACTGGTTGGAGTTGGGGGAGGGGCTGGTGCTTAGTGGTTGGAGTTGAGGAGGGCTCTTAAAAATATAGCAGTGACCTGCTCCAACCTGTCCCATATTTTTTGGTGGCTGCATTGAAGTGTTGAGGACCCACCTGCTCTTTAGCCAATTGAGCTCCTTAAGTGGCCAATTAATAGATGCTTAGGTGTCTCATATTTGCCCTCATTGCTATGTTACCCACAGCAGAGGAATTCCCATGCCACATGGATAATTCACCACTTTTTACAGAGCAGACTGATATCAGGCATATCAGAACAGTGGATCCCTGTGTCCGTTAGAGGCATAATGCCATTGAATATACTATTCTTCAATACCCCATTTCTTGAAGGGACTCTTGAATCCTTCCACTTAAACGCTCACTACCAGCAGCATGACTCACTTAAAGTCCAACTTCTTTAGCCTAGGTTTTATTTTGAGGGTGCAGTGTATACCTGCAAGCCAGTTGCATTGGCTACTTCTTTAAAGTGAGACTTAATCCCCAGATGGGGGCGAAAGGGTGAACCTCGGACTCTTAACTCTCGTGGTACACGAAATGGCTGTGGGCATTGTCAGTAAGTGGAAACAAGGATCCTCGTTGACTTTAGTGAAACAACGAATTATGGATGCTGAAGCACAGATAAACAGAAATTGCTGAAGAAACTCAGCACCTCTGGCAGAAATGAAGAAGGGTCACTGGACTCAAAACATTAACTCTGTTTTTCTCTCCACAGGTGTTGCCAGACCCGTTGAGTTTACTCATTGATTCTCTTTAGGTGGGAAATCCCGCCTTCCAAAAAACTCTTGCCCCAACCATCATTTATGGCACATAACAAGGCCATTCAGCCCTTGGAATCCATGCTAGCTCCTTGTGGAGCAGCCTAGTCTGTCACTCCACCTGGTGAACCCATGGCCAATCGAGCTTATTTCCTTCATGGACAGCGAGTTCCAAGTCATTACCACTCCCTGCATTAAAAAATAGTTCTTCCTCACATTCATCCATGCAACTTTTGTCCAAAATCTTAGATCTGTGTCCCCTAGTCCCTGTACCATCAGCTAATGGGAAGTTTTTCTCTGTCTAACTCATGTAAGCTGTTGATAAGTTGGCACATTTCTATCAATCTTATGTAAATTCCTTTGTTCTAATGGGAACAACTCCTGCCTTTCCTAATTAACTTTGTAACCAGAAGACCCCTTCTCTGGAACCATCTGGTATATTTATACAGCACTGGGACCTTTGTATCTTTCATGAAGTGTGCAGTCCAGAACAGGACGCAAAACTCTAGATGGGTTCTTATCAGAGCTTTATAAAAGTTCAAGCGTTAAGGCAAGATTTTCAATCATTTGCTTATAAGAGGTGCCTCTACCTGTAAATTTTGCAAAAATTGCACATAAACATATTTTCTGTCGACCAGCATCACTTGTCATAATTTGGGCATGATATTTAGTTCAACTTTTAATTTTGGAAACGTCTGTATACTAAAGTCTAATGAAAAATTCTGATGTAACAGGTCACCTTGATGCTGTGGTTGCTTTTTGAAAGTGTATCTTGATTGGTTCCTGGGAGCCATCTCCTCTTTCTAAAGAAAACTAGAGCAATGCCATAGGAGGTCTATCAGAGAAACTAAATCAGCTTCATAGTAACGTGTGTTTTAAATACTCCAAATTAGATTTGTAAATGAATAAAGTGGATCTTTAGGTACAAAAAGCGATTGAGATGGCAAAAGTCTCAGTTTAGGTTTTCAGATCGTCGTTATTTGATCTGAAAATCTAGATTACTTGAGTTTTTGCCACCAATAAAGTAACATCATAGGAATGGGACTAGACCATTCAGCCCATTTGAGCCTGTTCCATGACTCAGGCCAGAGATCAGCCATTACTTCTAACTCCATCTATCTGTCTTTGGCTGATATCCCTTAATACTTGTGCTCATCCCACCTGAGATGAATATTGCAGGTTCAGATTAAAAATGTAACATTATGCAGAATATAGAGTGGAAATCCAGTGCACACTTAGCAGGTGGGTTCAGTTAAAATCAGGGCTTTAGCATTTATTACACTGGTATTAATTTTCAAATGTTGTCTTCATTTTCTTTCTCTACACAGAGTCCAAATGGTCTGATATGTTTCAAAACCCACATTTCATAACAAAAAAAAGTTATTTGCAACGGACCGTTACCACTGTTACAAATGGAGCAATTCCCAAAATTCCAAACCCCATTGTCTGTCTGAGGCCAAATGATTTAATCCTCTTCAAACTCAGTGTTCATCAAAGCAGTGAGTATCAATTTCCTGTTGTGGGAAGGCTTATTTCAAACTGAGTGTTGCCCAACTACTCTGCTTAATTTCTCCCATTTTCTCTTCAGCATCTCTTCAGCTTTGGTCAAGTCTCACACTTGGGACTAATACTTCAGCTGCCATGTTTTGTAATGTGGGTGACCATGGTATTCTAACCTTCATGAATTTTGGTAATGGCCAATATTTTGATGGTGTTCTCAGATCTTCTACCTGTTCTTCTTAAACTGTAAGGTATATTTCCTCCTTTGTCTCTCTCTTGCTCTGCTAACCTCAATTTTACCTGGCACTGCCTGATGTTCTAGTTTCTCTTTCTGAAATGCCTCATGAATTGTAGTTGTGTGCATGTTATCCTCAAAGATTTCTCATGGGTTGTGAATGTTGTCCAGCCTTTCATCATTGTCCATCTCGTATACCTCATTTTTGCTGCGTTTAATTTTTCCTTTGTCTTGCTTATATTCCAACGATCATGTCCATTTACGCATGTCGACCAGATGGCTTACCCCTTTCTTGGATTTCTCAATTAAATACTAATGTGTGCTTCATGATTTGGATTTTTCATGTGATTTTACTGTTAAAAACACAGTTGTTTCAGAACGAAGCACTTTACCTGCACAACTTTCAGACCTTGCCTCATTGAAATCTGGGATCCCAAGCTATAATTTCATTCCTCGCTTTCTTTCATCTTCCAGGATTATGGAAAGTGATCTAATATTGGGGAAAAGGACCAAGTAAAGTCTGGTGGGCAGTGTCAGTCAGTTTTCACTCTTCACCAGCATTGATTAAAGAATCAACTGTACTCTTAGAATGAAGGATGATTCTAGCTGGTAGCTGCAACAGCTGGTTTTATTGTCACTGAAGTTTGAAATGATCGGTTAATTTAAAATGCTAGTGTATGGAACTGAGAAGCATATGTAACAGCAAAAAGCTGGAACCTTCCAGCACAACAGCAATATACTGCAAATGCTAGAAGTCTGAAATAAAAATGGAAAGCACTGGAAATGCTCAGCAAGTCAGGCAGCATCTGTGGAGTGAGAAACAGAGTTAACTTTTCCAGTTAATGCCCTTCCATCAGAACACAGGACAGCAGCCATAGATTGGGTAACCACTTTGCAGAATGCTTCAAATCAATCTGTAAGCATGATCCTAAGTTTCTGCTGACCTGACATCTTAATTCTCTACCTTGGCCTCAGCCTTTCTCTTTGGCTTGCTCTGCACTATTCCTGTGAAGGTCCGTTTAAACTTGAGAAACTTTACGGTCATGAACATTGAGTACAGTGATTATATTCTTACTTTTGAACAGCCAGACTCCTGATCTAGAAATATCTTTCATTTGCTTCTTTTCTTGCTCCATTGCCATTCTCTTTTGGTCTTTGAAGCCTAACTCTTTTGTCATTCATATTAACATGATACAATGCACTGTGGAATAAAAATCACACAAATCACGACATTTTTGCACCTTTCAAGCAGTACTAAATTATAGACTGTTACAACTTGGTCAGCAAGTGAGATTTGGCAACAGTGGGGCCCTCAACCAGGTCCTACCCATCTCCTACACTTCCGCCCTCACCCCTTCCCTTCCCTCCTGCAACAGCGATCAGGTTCCCCTTGTCCTTGCCTACCATCCCACCAGCATCCATATCCAGAAAATCATCCAGATGCCATGTCTGTCTTGCACAGGGACCATTCTCTCTGGGACACCCTGATTCACTCCTCCTTCACCCCCAACACACTCCCCCAGAGCCCTGTGACACCTTCCCCTGCAACTGGCGAAAGTACAATACCTGCTCATTTACCTCCTCCCTCCCCAGTATCCAAGGGTCCAAACATACCTTTCAGGTGAAGCATACTTCACCTACACTTCCCATAATCTAGTCTACTGCATTCACTCCTCTACATTGGGGAAACAGAGTGTAGATTGGGTGACCGCTTTGCAGAACATCTACATTCTGCTCGCAAAAAAGATCCTGAGCTACATGTTCCCTGCCATTTTAACACCACCCTGTTCCCTGGTCAACATCTCTGTCTCTGGCTTGCTGCAGTGTTCCAGTGAAGCTCAACGCAAGCTGGAAGAACAACACCTCGTTTTCCGCTTGGGGACCCTGCAGCCCTCTGGACTCAATATCAAGTTCAATAATTTTAGGGCCTAAACTCCTCCATGTCCTCGCCCCCTACTCCACACACCAGGCCTTGTTATCACATAGCCTGTCATTACACACCTCCTGTTGTTAGTCACTAACAGTCCCCATTAACACTACTCACCCTCCTAGCCAGATCGTTATCAACTCCTTTGTCTATCGAACTGCTGTTCTCTCTCTTCGGGCTCTATCCTATCATTTATTCCCTATCCCATCGCCCTCCCTGTTTTCTGCATATAAATTGACATTTTCCCAGCTACTATCAGTTCTGAGGAAGGGTTACCAGACCCGAAAAATTACCTGTGATTTTCTCTTCATAGATGCTGCCAGACCTGCTGAGCTTTGCCAGCAACTTCTGTTTTTGTTCCTGATTTATAGCGTCCACAGTTCTTTTGGTTTTTGTCCAAATTTGACGTTTTTCTTTTCACCCGTTTTAGTTGGCTGCAACAAAGATTTGATGATCTTTTGAGCATGCAGCTATACCTCACTCCAATTAAAATATAGTTAACTATCTCAACAGAAACAATTATGAAGTAAATTACAAAGTTTTTTTTTGAGTGAACGGAAAACATAACTTATTATTTGTTAACCCTAGGAAAATTATAAAAATACAATCTCAAACATACATACACAGATATACAAGCGCACAGGTACAACATTTTAAAAGGATATTTTTTACAGTACAGAAAGAAAGGTAAAAAGGTATGAAGTTTAAAGTCCTTAGGACACTCTTCTGTGGTTAGGTTAAAACCTAATACTTGTTGGTTGAGAGATAGTAGGAGCTGCAGATGCTGGAGAATCTGAGATAACAAGGTAGAGCTGGATGAACACAGCAGGCCAAGCAGCATCAGAGGAGCAGGAAAGCTG